CAATTTGGAGCATGGAGCTTTTCGGAAGTACAGCCTTTCTTATATTAACAAATAATAAACAGTTCTTTGAATAATATACTGTTACCTAGTTTTGAGTAGAGAAACTATGGTCTTATCTTTGAAAGATAATATCTGATTCTATCATGATTCTTAATATCTTACCTATTGTACGTTTATTAATAGGCTTTTCGATATTATCAATTGTTGATAAGACCCAGTTGTATAAATTTTTCTCATTATTAAAATATTGACGTGTAACACAGCTGAAATAATAGCGGAAATTGAAAGCAAAGGTTTTATACTTTTCAATGTGTAGTTACTATCTGATGATAAGATAATCATGCTGACCTATTTTACTGGCAAGCGATAGGGACTAAACTATTGAAAACATCTTGCTCCGATTCGGCTAAATTTCGTAAATAGTTGCATTTTGTACAGAAATAATGTTTGTGAGAAGCATTCTCGGCGATTCGGAACAAACCTGTCAAGCCGGATTTGACTGAAGTTTCGTAAATAGCTTCATTTTACATAAAAACTTTAGCAACTCGAAAGTTATGATCTAAAAATATTACCGGCTGCCGGTTCAAAACCTTTTAATCCTAATTTAACTGATAAAATACGATATAAAACATTAGGGATACGTTTAAGTATATATGTATTATGTTCTCGGGGATGTTTAGTCTTCCCACTCTATTTTAACGTGTATGTATTGCAATCTTATTCTACGCTATATTGGTAATACAGAGAGTGATGTCCAGACAATAAAATGTTTTTCGCAGAATTTTGGGTCTTAACCGTCGAATCGCCAAAAATCCTTCTCGCAAATGTTGTTATTATTTGTAAGGAACTTATTTTTAAAGCTTTAATGAAATCAGAGCACGAAAGTTTTCAGTATCATAAAATGATAAAACATTTTCTGCAAATTTTGAATCTAGTCTCGCAAATATTCTTTTTATGTAAAATGAAACTATCAGCCAAAATTTCAATCGAATCGCATTTGACAGATTTTCGGAAATATAGCTATATCAACCACATTTTCATGTAACCGTGGTAGATTATTCAATGAGGCTGAACTTTATTTTACCGGACCCAAAATTTTCAACATTTTTTTTTTAATCCATAGTTTTTGATGTGTAGAATCCAAAAATGCAAGTCTTAACTTTAGGAATCCAATGGTTAAAAAGTTATTAGCGTGTAAAGTTTGACACTTTTAGTGCATTTGCTACGTTACTGTGACGCTATATTGGCTTCTTGTCCAATGAACGGTGTCGCTAGCTGCAGGCAGACGCATGTGGGTACCGACCATTTTAGCGGGTTTAGTCAAACCGTAAAGATGCTGTCTGAGTTAGTTAGGTTTATATTTATTTTATAGAGAGACTGTACTGCTCATGCGAGAACTAATCAGGTTATACATATAAGGCAATATGGTGTCACAGTAACGTAGTAAATCCGCTAAAAATGTCAAACTTTACACGCTTATAACTTTTTAATCATTGGATTCCTAAAGTTAAGACTTGCATTTTCAGATTCTACGCGTCAAAAACTATAGATTAAAAAAAAAGATGTTGAAAATTTTAGGTCCGGTAAAGTAAAGTTGAACCATTTTCTTCTCTAATAAAGCATCCACTTTCAGCTAACGGCCATACGACTTAGGACTACTACCGGTTCTCGTCCGATCACCGAAGTCAAGCTAAGTTCGGCGTGGATAGTACTTGGATGGGTGACCGCTTGGGAACTCCACGTGCTGTTAGCCTTTTTTTTTCTTAAGTTGAGTTATTCGAAAGCGAAACACACCCTTCGAAAATTGATATTCCAATTCCCAATTGCTTATACATATGTCGAGAACGAAGCCGCAGATTATGCCGTGGTATCGGCGCGCTTGTTTATAACCACCATTCGAACGTAATCAATAGCCAACACCTTCAGCCCGCGCTATACGAATCCTTTAATTGGACACTGTTTTTCGTTAATAATTTAAAAACGAGATCTTAATCAACATTTTGGCAAAGGAAAAAGTTCAGAATCCTCAGCAATCATCCCTCCAGGGCATTCGATCTAGTTCTGGGACACTCTCTATAATTGTTTTCCAATCAGCACCAACGAGATAATTATATCGCCGCGCCGGTACTGTGGCAACAAGTCTAGATCATTTCGTTGACGGTATTTTAGATAGAAACGATATTTGTAAAAAAGATTCTTGGCCACCCGAAAGCTAAGATCCAAAATTTTACAGAAAATGTTTTACTACGGTAATATCACTCTCTGCATTATTAATACAGCGTACGATAAGATTATAATAGTACTGGTCAGAATAGAGTGGGAAGGTATAGTCTCTCAATAAATGTGTAATTACAAATATCCTCAATGCTACATATCGTACTTTATTTCTTTTAAACCGACCGCTGACAACATTTTTGGGTTTTAACTATTAAGGTGTCACAAATCTTTCTCGCGAACATAGTTTTTATCAAACAGCTTTCTTCTAGAGGGTTTTAGAGGTACAGTTTTAACTTTGAAATGTAAAGTCTGATCCTATCATGGTGTTATTTATTCTGAATCTATTAGGTTTTTCATAAGCTTTCCGAAATTATTAGTTGATGAAAAACCACTTATATAATAATTTTTTGATTATTACAAAGAGACGTATAACACCATTGAAATAATAGAGGAAATTGAAAGCGAGGTTCTTACTTTTTTGAATTTTTGGTTATTATCAGATGTTAAAATAATAGTGCTGATCTGTTTTTCATTGGCAAGAGGTAGGTAATGGGTTAAGAGTAAAGAAGATCTCTCGCGTGTAAGAGGTCAACCTCATAGTAAAGCCGAGGTTTATCCCACGAGTGGAATCTTTCGATCAACGGAATTTAATTCCTGCTTCCCTACAATAGAGGGTAGCACAATGCACCTTTTTCACTTTCCAAGGATACCATACGAGTTATTTGTTTAAAGAAGTTTCATCAATAGTATATTATACCACTAATTGTTGTAAGTCATTTTATAGTTTATTGTTATAATTGTGTGAAGAATAACAGGCATTTTTTTAATAATTTCAAAATAGTGAAATCGATAATATGGTTTACATCTTAGCTACCATCATCACTAAAATCTAAAAATACTTTTTAAATTTTGTTGCATTTCTATTACTATGCTAACATACAAAATGCAGTTCTTGTAGGTATATTGTTATTATTATGATTTAATGAATTTGTTTCATAATGATTATAAATACAGTATCAAATTCGAATTTTATTTTAATTCTTATTTCAATTATATTAATAAACCAAAAATATAAGCATATAAAACTGCAACACGTTTTTATTATTATTTAAATTGAATAACTTAAGTTATTAATATTCAATAAATTAAATTAGTATGTTTAATGAATTATATGTTAATTTGTCTGTAAAAATATAACTTAATGGAAAGAATGTAATTTATATAATAACAGAAAATTTAACTTATTAATTATGGTACATAGTGGATAAACATTTTAAATGATTTCAGATAAAGTTTTGTTGTTTTCCACAAATTGTCAAGAGGTAAACATTGCTTTAAATATATTACTTTCATATTATTGATTATAATTTCTACTATTTTTCTGATTAATTAGTTTCACTACTTCCTCTGTTAAATGTTTTTTATTTTTCAATGACATATCTAATACATTTAAACATATAATAAAAGTACTTTGTACCGTTATCTACACGTATTCTGAAAATATGTAAAACATTATAAACTTGTTAAAAGTAACATATGCTGTGCTAACAGCATGAATAAATTTCTTCAAATATGAAGTTAAACACTGTAATAGACATATTAAAAAGAAGATATATGAACACAAAACAAAAGATACCACAAATTTTTGTCAAGATTTCTATGGTTGAGATAAGCTACTTGAAATGTTTATGTTATCTTTTCGTAATATTCATTAATTTGTTAATGTTCATTAAAATGTTCCAGCTGTTTTTGTTCTGTTATATTTAAGCATATTGTCGATTTAAAATAAATCGCTATAAATATTACAATGTGTGTCTGTTGTAAGTTTTAAATAAAGTTATACATAATATTTATATTTTAAAACCTGCTATTTTGCTTTAATTCACGATTTTCTAAAAGTATCTCCTGTTACAAAATAATAAAGGTTTTTATTATATCCATTGTTATATTAATTTTTAAAATTGATATTTATATGGTTGTTATAAATACATTAAAATTTAATTATGCCTGTTAATATTTTCAAAGGTGTATTATCAATTATGTTAAAAATATATTACCAGAAATTTTACAGTTCATTTACATTTTTCATTAATATTAACTAAAAATTACAAAAAGTATGTTTTTGTTATTTTTGAAGATAACAGATCAAACAATAGAAATTAAATTTATAGTTTTCCCAGCATTCATACTTATAAAACAAACACGTATACGATTCTAAAATGAATCAAAATAAACCACATCATTTGAAACAACGAAAAACCAATGAAAGTCATTAAACCGTTAACAGAGATACTTTAAAGATAGAATCTTGACAGAAAACCTCAAATAAATAAAATATGTTATAATAAAACAAAACACACTGATACAGAGGTAGTTGAAAGGTACGTTTCAAGAAAATTGTTTATTAAGGTACACACAAGTTTTCGTTCACTGTAGAACGAACAGAAAGGAAAGTAATATCCGTTACAAGCTCGATTAACACTTTGCAGAAGAGGACAAGAAATTCGAGATGTTACTACTCGCGCTGTCGGCGCCCGATTGAATCTGGATGCGTCGCGAGAGTGGTTGCGCGTGGAGCGTGTGCGCATGCCGCGCATGCGCGGCCAAACTGTGACGCTACAGTGGCGCCAGTAATGGCGGCGGAAAACACGCGCGCACGCCAGCACCGCCGCCGGTTTGTTTCTCCACGCCTCTACCTCGCCTCCACCACCGCCGCCGCCACCGCCACCGCTCTCACAACTTGTGGGTAAGTACCCTCACACTCCAATCAGTCTGCACTCGCATGTCCACGAGGTTGCTCGCACGGTCTTGCCGCCTTCCTCACGTACTCACCCCTTTCTCTCTTCTACTTGGCTCACCACGTTTAGTGCATTATCAGAGACCCGTACCACGGGGTGAACTGAGCCACTGGTTGACGTGCTCGTCGGGTATTGTCAGTCGTCGTGAGGTTAGGTCAGAGTGATCGTCGTGGCGGGATTACACGGCTCGTTTGAATTTGAATTCTGTCGTTCCGTATCGTCGTGTTATTTGTTATCCAAATGATTGTAAACGTGTCTTAACACGATCAACAAGCTTCGAACGAAACGTTTCAACGATTATCAGATGAGTTTATCGCGTAACGTAAACTGAACGCGCGAACGTCAAACCGCGTGACAGCCGCCGCATTGAGGTTAGGTTGTTCCTCGCCTACCAACGCGCCTTTTTCGAACGGATTCCTCGTGACGTTTACTTACCGAGCATCGATTTATGCGGATGTTAGTGCGAACTGTTGGTGATAACGACGCGTTTCTCGAGTGACGGATCAAGGGACAATGAGAATTGTGGAAATAGAGTGAATGTTTTCGAACGGACGTATTTCGTGCAGTGACTTCTTTGGTGCACAACAAAATGTACGCGTGGTGGTGATTAATACATTTTAATATATTTCTCGTGTACTCATAGACAGTAATATACACGAATATAATTATTTGTCTCGATTCATTGTCGAATATTGAGAAGCGATCGAAACGAAGATAGCCTGTTGCGTCGATGCGTTGCGGGTGTTCACTTTTGCACGCTTTCGCACACAGGTCTTTTTCGTCGATGCTTATTTAATAATGACAGTGATACGCGGACATTCACTTTAATGATGTATCAATTTTGCCATTGTTAATGTCTTAATTTTCTGAATATTTTTTGGATAAAAAGAACTTTGTTGGAAATTGAAATCAAAATTATATTCAAATCATTTTAATCCTTGAACAGCGGAGCCTGGGTCGATTGTGACGCAAACTTATAAAACATATACAAGAATATTAACCTAAAGTTAAATGGATTCATATATTGGAAGAATAATTATTAAAAGAACTGTATGAAATAACATGACGTATAAAAATTAAATTAAATTAAAATTAGGGTTCTCACCATGGTCCGCCGTTCAAGGATTAATATAGTTTTTTAAACCGCTCAGGAGCATTAAGGCACTTATTCAATTTGACATAAACTTCAAATAAAATATGAAATTGTTAAGAACTTTTAAAGAGATATTATTCCGTTTGACATTTTACAATAATAGTGGAATATTTTACACAATATCATTTAAAAGTTAATAAAACTACTAACAGCCTACAAATTCTGATGTTTTAGTAATTAATTTTTTTATAGCTTCTGTAGAAATATTCTTCTGTTCTTCTGGAATTATTTATTTTTGATTCTCAATAAATTATCTACTATTTTTGCTGTATTTTTGGATGTCATTATTTTTCCACTGGCCCAAATATGCAAAATTACAGTAGATGCAGAAGATATTCTCATAGTAATCAATGTTAAATAAAATTTCACAAAATTACTGTTTATTACGTAATTTTTATGAAACAATCAAATTATATATATATATTTTCAAAAATTTCTGCTAGATATTATACAAAAAAATTTTTAAATTAATAGAAATGTAGAGATAATAAATAATTAATTTATAAGCGGATAACTTATTCCTTTGTGATTAAAATTAACTTACATTTGTTCTTGAAGCTCTAAGTGAAATTGCAGAAATTTCATCATTTGCATAAAATTTTGGAGTATTTTTAAATGTAATAAGTGTCACGAGAATTCTGAACGGTTCTACCAACAAAGTTTGATTAAAATTGCAAATTAAATTTATTAATATCTAATAATACGAAAAGAGTTGAAAATACACAAAAAGAAGAATGTTCGAAAAATTGCATAGAAAAGTGAACTATCAGCTCTTGCAATAATTAATTGTATAAAAACTAATGTTTAATCAAAAAGTTTGATTTATCTTATTTTCTGAAATAAACATCATTATTGTGAGATTTCACACGTTAAAGGTAGAGTGTCAGTACGCGACGCGTACTGATTGTTCTTTGGTTCCTCGGCTTCCTTTCGATCCGACGCGCACTTATCAACGCGTTCGATTCGGAAAAGAAAAATCGATAGAATCGCGATCGATGCAGCCACTCGTGGATCAAATTCGATAGCTATCGTTGAAAGACAAGAAGGAACTGACATCAGTCATTCGACGGCCGAGTCACTGACTGCGTCGCATTTGAATTGTCCTTAAACGGTTCTAATCTATACACTTACCTTCCGATATTTTCAAATTATCCATAATGAGTATTGCAAATTAATACTGTAATATCTTAAAATTTTTAGTTCACCATTCAGATATTACGTTATTCAGAAAATATGAAAAAATTGGATCTTTAGTAAAATTGTATTGCAATGAAATTTTAGGTGGTTTTATGTTTATTTTTCTTTTTGCAACTGTTCATTGCAAAGGTTCAAACAAAATTATTTAAATATTAGGTTGGTGTATATCGGTTTGCAAGAATAGTGACATTAGTCGAAAGAGTTAATTTCACAGAAAAGCAGTTTGAATTTCACTTTTTCTATAATTTGTTTGTTACTTATTGTATTTTTGTTTGTACAGTTGTACTGAGAGTTTTCATTCTTGCCTTTCTTTATTAAAATGTCAGTTAACTCTTTTTCTTAGGGGATGAAACGATTTCTCATTTTGAGTTGCGTCATTGTTTTTGTCAAATAGTAGCTAATCAATTCTGTGGCTCGATGCAAAAAGTATCAATATTGTATTTTCGGAAAAATAAGTTCAACCTTATATTATCAACCTTAAAAAACGACAATTTCTAATTCTATTTAGAAGTTACTATAATGTTTTTTCTACAGAAAAACATAGATAGCATAAGCTATAATTCTAAGAAATTTGGAACAGCAGAAACTTCTGTATCAGAAATTATTCGAACATGAATTTTTTATCACTCGAAAGCTCTAATATTAATTCATTTTCCTGTTTCGTGTTATTTTCATTTTGTATCTTTTGCACCAAGTCACGGATGTGATAGTTGAAACATTTCCATATTATTATTCAGATCAAAGAAGCCTATTTTTAAAGTTTATTTTCCCAGCTATCTCAAAATTGATAATATCCAAGTTGTGTTACTATTTTTGCAAATCACAGATATGAAATGTTGTTTTTCTAATGTTTGAATCTTCAGGTAGTAAGCACTTCTTAATAATCAGTTGTTACAAAAGAAAAACAAAATTCCTTGTAATATATGTAGGTATAGCATTAACTATCAATAATATTCATAGTTGATTATTAAAAATGACCAAAATTTTTAGGCAATCATTTTGTACTAAAACAAACTTGACAATGTTGAAGTAAAAATTGTGTAATAAAATTAATCTATCATTTGCAAAAGATTACTTAATTGTAAAAACTGTATAATTTTGGATTACATAATTTAGAAGTGAAAATTTTTCATTTGAAAATGTATCAAATATTCTACATAATAATGAAATTCCTATAGGGAAAGTATAAAGTTATTTTGAAAGAAAAATGTACTTTTCAGAACAACATTTCATTTGAACCAACCTAATGGTATTAAAATAGTGTCTGCATTAATTTCAAGCTTCAAGGTAATTTTAAATCAGATAGAAGTCCGAGGAACCAATGTTAATTTTAACGTTCTTTTACACGAAATACACTGAACACTGAGATTTATATCAAGTAAAAATTTATACTTGCGAAACTGTTTTTCATCAAATCAAGTTTCCTATGATAGAACATGAAAGGAAAGACATAAATAAGTATCTTCATTAGCTTATATTCGCATTATTTTTCCAGTAATCTAAGAAATTTGAATCTTCGATATTGCATTTACAGATCGTTGAAGCAAAATATTTCTGTAACGATATTTTGAAGATATTGTACAAAATTTACGTAAACCTAATAAAAGAAATAATTTATCTGAAAATTGCATAAAATTTTAAGGGAGGAATTAGAATTTTGAACTCTTAGGAATGATAATACTAACAGTAGCTAAACTTTTGCCTATTTTATTATGAAACTTACTTAACATCTTGAATTGTGGGTGATACTTAAATTTCAATAGGAAACTATCACCCACATTGTTAGGAATTCTTTGCTTTACTTAATTAGAAATACTTCTACTAGATATTTGAAATAAATAATTATCGTGGAAATAATCAATAAAATTTGTCAAAAATAAAACTGCTATTTAATGAAATTATTAACAGCTTCAATGTGGCAATAAATTTTAATATTGCAAATTTGTAACTTGGCGTTTTCAATAATTTTATTGATAATGAAATGTGCAATTATATTTGCAACACAATTCCAATAATGAGTTGATATACACAGTTCGTAATGAATTGCTCTATTAGTATCTTACAAAAATATTTTGCTTCGATCACTAGAAAGTATTTGAAGTCACTATTTAATGATTTGAAATTTTTAAAAGCAATTGAAGGAAGCATAGAAGTATTTATCCAAAGTTTTTTAATCCTGTACATAATAATGTATAGTTTCTTTTATAGTTTCTTTCGCTATGAACCGTTATTATTTACAATCAGCGGCCCACATGAATAATATTCTGATAGCATAATATCGAAGTAATCATTGTATTAACTCTCCGCCGGCAGTATTGTATTTTACTAACACGGCCGGCATTACGTATCTTTTATTTCCAAGCTCAGTTTTTTATTGTTTCAAATTGTAACAACATTCTGAGACATGTATTGAAGTCTCTAATTTAATGTATATCTGTTAAACGAAATATTTAACTACTTTTGCAATAAAAGCAATAATTCGAAGGCAAGTTTTGAGATGATCCGTAATGCCGGCGGAGGGTTAAGGAAATTCTATTCTATTGATAGGATCGCAAATTTAAAGTTCATTGTATAATGTTTAAATGAAAGGGTTTTACATTGTATATATTGAAAGAATAATTTTTATAAGAACAGTGTACAATTTGGGGAATGAAAATCATATGGAATGTAAAATTAAATTGAAATTGGAGCTCTCTCCATGGTCCGCCGACCGAGGGTTAATGATATTGAAACAATTATTGCTTGATAATACCCATTTACAATTATATTAACAAAGCAATAAATATCTATAGTACGATAACATATTTATCTTAATTAATAGAAAGGAAAGTTTTATTTATTTAGCATAGTTATTTTTTAGTATAATGAAATAGAAACAGAACTATTTGTTCCGGTCATTGAATTAAATGATACAGCGATATACACTGCCGTCGATAGGTAGTGGGACACCTATAAAATTTGTTTGTGCTCAAATATTTTTAATTTATGTAGGTTTCTGCTAATTAAAGCAGTTTTAATTTATTTTCACATTTTAATAACGGTTTTGTCGTAGCTACATGCCTTTAACGTCTATCAAGCTATCTCTTCATACTCGTCACAGATAGAGTGCTAATTAATTTATGACGCTAATTCAGATGTACTATTTTTACAATTAAGCTTACTGATTGTTTATGAATAATAATTTTTGACATTTGTTGTTTTTCTTGAGCGTTTTTATTACTTTTAAGATTAATAACTATTTAGGATAGCGAATTTCTTCAGAGCATAATAATCTACAATAGATTTAGAAAATTTTCTTAGTGAAATATTCTTCTTTTGACAGAATAACATTTTATTTATATTTTTTTATGAGGCTTAGTTGTCGTAATAATTTAAAATCTCATTGTCAAACGAAATTAATTGAAAGTGGATGAAATTATAGTTCTGGACTTTTGATTATATTACGTGAAACAAAAATAAAGAAAACACATTACAGTCCTCAGTAATTTGCAAAATTTGAGTACAATATACGTGTTTTACAGTTGAAATTGTTAATAAAAAATAATTAGTGATTAAAGTCTACTTCGTTCGATATAAAATAACTCGATTTATTCGAGTACTCGAATTTCGAGTCAAACAATGATCGGTCGGTCGAGCCGAGTCGAGCGCTTGAATTTGCCGAATTACTCGAAATCGACGAAAGCGAGCTACTCGAAAAAATCGAACTACTCGAATATTCGAGCCGAAAATTCATCTTCAAGTGAATCGAAGTTTTATGATGGCTCGAATATTTGAGTAGTTCGATTTTTTCGAGTAGCTCGCTTTTGTTTCAAACAGTTTGTCGGTAATTCGAGTAATTCGGCAAATTCAAGCGAGTTCAGCTCGGCTTGTAAATTCCGAGTAACTCGCACACCTCTAAAAATAACAGCAATATACAAATTCTGAAAAGTTATTACATGATCAACAGAAGTTACAAGTGTTCTACTACTTATGGATGGCAGTCTGGCATATGGAAAAATGCAGATTCATTTGAGAAATCAGACATAACGCATTAACAAAATTATTAAATTCTCAAGATTAATAAAAAGTTATTAGAGAAAGTAAAGAAAATCACAGTATTAAGTGTTCTTTAGTTAACTAACTGATAATAAGTTTACAAAGAAAATATATCCCGATATGTAGTTTAGAAAAACAAATGGATACAGTAGGATTCTAATTCGTAGAAAACTATATACCAATAAATCAAATCGAAATAAAGGTTTAGTTTTAGTTAAAGAAGTTCTTTTTCAATAAAAATATCTGATAAAATGACGTAATATTTCGTGAGGAAGGAAATTCATCATTTTCAGTTCAGGTGAACGAAAAATTAAAACTTCGGAACATTATTTCTTTAATGTACTTGTAAATGGAAATATCTAGCAATAATTACTTAACACTTTAATGTCCGACGTCATATATTCGTGATTTTGGCATTTAACTTTTTATGTGATTATTCTTTACCTTATTTTTATCTACTCCATCAAATGCTAATTAGAGTTTAAAATTTAGTAACTCTGCGGCGCCCGTAAAATGATTTATTTATAATTCTATTAGTAATTTTTTGTTAGATACAAAAGGGAATTTAACTTTCCGTAGGCAAATTGGATCATCTGTTTCCTTTTACTATGTCAGACTTTCTAAAAATCTGACAAAATTCTAGAAGACTAATTAAAATCTCTATTACATTATTCAATTATTCGTTCTGTCAAATGTTTACAACTTTTTTTCAATAAAAATAAAAATTCGAGGGGAAGTCTTTCGCTTCTGTCGTTAGCGTTTCGGATTGCCTACGGAGGATTAAAATTACACGAGTTAAAGGTTTTATGAAACCTGCAGTCATCAGAGTGTTAATTATCAGAATAAAGTCCAAATATTAATGTGGGTCACTGTACATTGTATAAAAAAATGAAGTGAATATTACTCGCTTCATAATTCATAATCCTATAATAACTTTTATAATTTTGTTTCTCTCTTTAAATATATAAAAATATATATAATCAAGGATGAAAGTAACATTATAAGATATCGTTGAAATAATGTGAATATAAGCTAATGAAGATACACATCTCAGACATTACTCTTCTTGATTTTCATTCAATGATTTCAATGAAACCTGGGCAAATTACGGTGAATATATTTCTGGTAGGCGAGCAAAGGAGTATAAGTTGATAAAAATCTTATTAGCCATTATTTTCAAGAAAATAAGAATGTTTCTAAATTGACTACGACGTATATTTTATTACAAGTTATCAACTTCCATGTTCAAAAGTAACATTCGATTTAACATTGCACCTTAAACATCTTCTACTCGTCTAGCAGAGATATTTGATTTGATGTAAACAGTGTTCACACCTGTGACCGATAGGCACTAGAGCGGAGATTCCCAAAATGCGGTTTCCGATCGACGCGACGGTTGGGTCGCGTTAAATATTAACGCGTTGATTGCCGAAATGAAAATAGATATTTGTTGTCACATATATTGAAGCTCTAATTGTTAAAAGTGGAAACAGTGTGGAATTTTTAAATTTCAAGCAATCCGTGTAAAATAATACGAAATACGAAGGTAAATTAAAATTGGGTCTTTCTCCATGGTCCGTTGTCCGATGGTTAATTCGGTTAATTAAGTCCGATAGTGATTATCATCTTCAGCGACTGACGGTATCGAGTTGCGTGGCAGCGAATGCGTTAATTTTTATCGGCAAGTGGATCTTAAAAAGTATCCGTTTTCGATAGTGGATCTCGACTCGTCAAAGTTTGGGAAGCTCTGCGCTATAGCCACTTCTGATAGACACGGTTCGATTTCTTTTTTTAACAACTTTTTTTCGCCACGTTTACGAGTGGGTTAGATTCGGTATCGCGAGTAAATTCGCGTGGCAAGTGTCCAAGGATGAAGATGATCGAGAGAGAGAAATGGAACACGTCGATTATATCTGTTCTAGATGGATAATTCTGCATATGTGCCGAATCATCTACCGCCGCCGTCCCTGGTCGTATTTTCACAGGCCGGGGGGCTGCCGGAGGCTCTGAGAATGCAAAGACCCTTCAATCCACAAGTTAGTGTCCCATTATCCTTACCTGTACACAAACCTAAGCCTGTGTTTGCTTCTCTCTTGCTTCTATCTGTGTTTACCCGTGCATGAGAATCTGCTGAAAATGATATTTGGAACAAGGACGATTAACACGAGATTTCCTTAGCGAACCATCGTTTTTCTTGTCTTTGCAAAATTATTGCTTTCGCTCGTTCGTGTTTTAGTACCTGGAAAGTTTTTGCCGATTTGTGTAACAAAATATTGGATATTTCATTACTATATTTTTTAAAAATAAAACTTCATTTGAACAGAGAATCTCAGCTGATTGTAAAGTTCATCAGTTTTTTGTTCCTTTTTAAATTATATGAAATTCTAAGAGCATTTCAATTTGCATAATTAATCTTAATTAAATGCTGATTGATACTAATTTTCTATTTATTTACGTATTATATAATAGGATTATTATTCTCAGTCATAACTTTGATTAAATTATGATTAACCCTTGAACAGTGGAATCTGGGTCAATCGATACCCCAACTTACAAAACATATGCAAGAATAATAATCTAATGTTGACTGTATGATTTTTAAACAAAAGAGTTTCATATATTGAAAGAGTGTGAAATTTGGAAAATGAAAATATTAGGTGTACAAATTAATTCGGTGCCATTTTTAAATAGCTATAGTAATTCCAATTATTGAAATGATCTTTATTGTTATTATGTCGTCTTACCACTTTTCAAATGTCCAAAACCGCGAGAAAATATTCAAATTAAAAATATTAATTAAGAAGGCGTAATACTAAAGGCACCGAATTAATTTGTACACCTAACAGTATGAAATACAAAATTAAATTAGAATTGGGACTTTCTCCATGGTCCGCCGTCCGAGGGGTTAATAATAAATGATGTACCTAAGGGTTATGAAGATAAAGATTTCCACTTTTAAATATAATAAACTATTCTTTAATCGTCCTCTCTGTTGTTTCTTTATGAAAGAAAAGGTTCAAATGTTAAAAGTGGATTCCATTATAACCAGAATCTTCATGTTAAATACAGGATAGAATATCACCAATTAGATTGTATCATAAATCTTTCCATGCAACCTATGAGAAATTGGCAAAAACTTTCAGGGTAACTCAATAATAACAAGTTAAGCAAGTTAACTCTTTCGTTATGGATAAACTGCTCTAAAACGCTAAACCCACCGTCATTGCGTAATGCAGATAGAAAATTTGCTCACGTTACAAATTTTTAATAATCTAATAAACATTTTTAATTCAAAAGGAGAAGATTACTCCACCGTTAATAAACAAAATTCGTCCAAGGATTAATCCTTTCGATCCCGGTAGGACACATACGTCCCACTGAATGTTTCTGACCCTCTGTGAGACAATGTGTTACATATGTGCATTATATTTTTTCTTTTTACTTTATTTGACTATATGTATATTAGCTGTAGAAATTAATTCAGTGCCTTTAGTATTACTTTTTTTAAATCACTATTTTACATTTGAATATTTTCCCGCGCTTCCATGAAATTGAAAAGTAGCGCGAAAATGTGATAACGATAATAATTATTTTAATAATTGAAATTACTATAATTAAAAAAAAATAAATCTTCAATTAAAATAAAGAAAAAGCATCGAATTAATTTCTACGCATAATACCATCTTTGATTGGCAATTATTGACCATAAACAACATAACAACGTACTGAATAATCTTCATTTAGGCAGTTAAATTCAAATGGAAAATACTTGGGTCGAAAGGGTTAATGTACTCGTGGCAAATAAATCCCCCGCAACAAATTAAATACCAGATTTGGAAAGATTGACTCCAGAACGTCAAAAGGATCAATCGTTATCATGTAAAAGTCAATGATATTTTTCTCTCTCTTTTTTTTTTTTTTTAATTCATTACTATTTCGTGCGTGTATATAAACACAGAGAATAATAAAAGGGAGACGCGCAATCTTTATGCTTCGAAAAATGTCAATTTCAATGGGCCAGCTGTAATCGCTTGCAATCGCTTCGACTGGTAGGCGCTTTATGCACACCACTGGTAATTAATGCACGCTCTAAATAGGGATTTCGTTGTGAATGCCTGGGAACACGCAAACGTGAATGAATCCGTAAATCGTAGTACAGTAGATAGATAATCATTTGCTTGACGGTAATCATTTTTCGTTAAGTTTGATCGAAACAGTCGATCGGCTCTGTACACCGTAAGTATATATTTGATGTTTTTTAATTTAAATTTAAGCAAATCCCCATTTTCACCCTTTCGCTATTGTGAGATACTATAATCATCGAATGGAGTGTTTACATTTCAAGATAACAAGTATGTGATATGACAACAGAAAAATTTCTTATTGGAAATCAAATATTATATAAATAATTATTAATAATTTAACACTTTATTAGCAGGAGAAATTAACTGAGAGCGGGAACTTTTTTGGAAAAAAAATTGAGAAATTTTAAAGAAACGTATTACTACGTCAACTGTTTTCAGCTGTTACTTTTGAAAAGACGTATTACTACGTCACCAGCTTTAAGCTATTACTTTGAAAAGACGCATTACTACGTTAACCGCCCTCAGGTTTTACTTTTGAAAAGAGCTACCATTACGTCACCAGCTCTCAGCTTTTATTTTTGAAAAGACGTAGTACTACGTTATCTGACAGCAAAGTGTTAACATGAAAACGTACGAATAGGGTTTCAGGTAGAAACAACCGTAGCGAAAGGGTTACTTATAGAGAGTGAGTCAAATAATTAAAATAAGTTACAACTACTGTGTTGAAGATCTATTTTATTACAGTAGACTCTCGTTATATTGCCCCACGAGCGGCTTGACCTTCACATGGATTTTCAAGCATATTAGTGCCACTTTTATATCCCTTTCCTACTCTAACTGAAAGCTTGAAACATTTTCTGCCCCTACACCCCGTCCACGTCAATATAACGAGTGTTTATCATAATTTTCACTTGTGACAGTGCAACCAAGAAGTACTATTGCAGTTTTTTAATTAATTAATTATAAGATTAACATAAGATTTCAGTTTATTTTTGACAAATAAAATCAACTCTAATCTTTGAACAGTGGAGCCTGGGTTAATCGCGACCCGAACTTACAAAACATATGCAAGGCTATTGACCTAAGGTTACATGTATAATCTTTAAACAAGAATCATTTTTAAAGGAACAGTGTAAAATTTAGAAAATGATAGTAGTATAAATTAGAAAATTAAATTAAAATAGGGGCTCTCTTCATGGTCCGCCACCTGAGGATTAACTGCGTTCAACACATATTTATATACATATAAACATCTTATCTACATTTGTAGTTGAAATGGATAAGTATTATTGTGTTATGATCGAATAATAACTAAAAATTTAAAAGCTTGATCCGTATTCTCATTATCTGGTTAATTATAACATACATAGATTTTATTACGTCCTTTGAATTGCAGATGAATTATTAACGACTAGAGGCTTATATTCGGTTCCTTTAATTAGTAACCGTTAGTATTAAAAAGTCCATTAAAATAGGCTTCCGGTCAGTAAGGTGTTAACATTAGATACCTGATACGACCATATGGCTCAATCATAAAGTGATTAACTTTGACACCTGCGATATAGAACGATATAATAAGAGTTCTTAAACATATTATAAACATTTCATTTTTTAAATTTAGCTTTTCATATTATTAATGTATTTAATATTACTTGTATTCGCAATCAAAATTTTCTTGTTTTCTTCTCATTGGTAAGTGATTGTAAAAATTTAATTAAAATATTTTTAATATGGACAGAAATAAGATATTCTAGGATTCCTTTTTGTTAAATTGTATAGTATACGTATAGTACAATAGAAAAATTAGGTGGTCTCAAATTTTTAACGCATAGTATATGTTGAACATAGATGAAAAAAATAATTGAACGCATAAAACACTATCATGTTTACCTATATAAATATAATTATTCATAAAAGGGAATATAGAACACAACGGGGCAGAAATCAATATTGATTTTAAAACAAATGGGAAAATTTCATTGATTAAAAATTGTTTTACGTTTCACAAGTGCTATAAATTGCAAATAACAGTTTCTATACTTTTTATGTATGTGCACTCACGATCAAATCAGGCTTCCCTAAAATGGTGATATAGGGGAAGCAAGAATACTGAAATTCTGAATTTTTACCTATTAATATTAAAAGTGGTTTAGAAGTAAAATTATACGATTTTTAATCATGAAGTATTACAAAATTTATTATACAATTGGAAAGTACAAACAACAAAGTAAATTATATACTTGTAATCCAATTTCTGAATCTTTGTTTCTATAGCTAACAATAAGTAATTCAATTTTTATTTTGCATATATTGAATTTGCAAATAAAATAGCGTTAAAAAATTGTAATCTTTAATAATATTGATTCTTTTAACCCTTTATTGTCCTAATAAAGTTTCAGAGATTTCACTGATTATATTTTTCCTATTTTCTGTAAAACTAAATTCTTCTCGAAACTTCCAATAAGTATTAATTTTAAGATTTATCAATTTTTCCAAATAGCATAATTTGATGCTCAATATTTTATTAAACCGTATACACGGTTTTATTTTAACAAAGAATAAATTAATTGCGAAATATTAAACATCTTTTTAACCGAAATTATTTAAATGGTACGACGGATAAAATATTATTTATAATTTCAAAAGAGGTGATTGAACAATTTACGCGTTCGTCGTTGGTTGTTTTAGTTGTTAAACAAATATGAAAAAGGAAGGAAATGGAAAGGATTGTTCGACATGATGAGATAATGAAATAATATTCGTTGAAACGTTGAAAAATGTATGTTTTCAAAGTGCTTATTAATGAGCTCGTTTAAATACATGTAGCAGAGGTGTATTGTATTATTGAAACCGATTGCAACGTACATTCGGAATAAAAACAAAGCCTCGGCTGCCTTTCGAGACACGTACGGGACACGATTGATTGCAATCGAATAATAAAACATGGCAGC